ATTGAAAATATCCTAATCGGGTGTCTGATCTTAGATCGTTGCTAGCAGAAGGGGCCCTGACACCAGGCAGTGATCTGAACTGGCTATAGTCATGGTGATGATCAGAGATTCAGCTGTTCCCGAGTCTACATGCACAAGCTAAGACACATAAGAAGAAGCTGAACCATGTAACAATGGGAACAGTCACCTTCTTGTTCAGAGGTGGTGAAACCCAACGGAGGTATTAAACTACGGTTTCCAAAGATGAAAGGATTCTAAGTAACATTTTTCAGTGTTTAGAACCTGTCCCCTCCCACTATGACACATGCTGGGCAAACACTCTACAACCCAGCTGTATCCCCAGCTCTCCTTTTACTTTTTATTTTGAGAGTAAGTTGGCCAGGCTGACCTTGAACTGACAGTTCTCCTGCCTTGGCCTCCCCGGGAGCTGATATTGTAGGCCTGTACCACCAGATCCTGCTTGCATACTCTCTTAGACACGAACTGTTTAATTTTCTTGACTTTCTTTGATATTGCAGGTCTGGGTAGAGGCGTGCTTGAGTGGAAGGGTAATGGCCTGTGTTATAGACTGGATCTAGAATGTTCTCACAAAGTCTCGTATCAAAACCTTGGCTGCAGACCATCATGGAAACTTTAGAAACTGGAGTCTAATAGGGGAAAGTTAGAATACTGGGGCTGTGTCCATGAAAGGGATCATGGGACTCCAGCCCCCTTTCTTCTCCCTCACTGCTTCCCAGCAACGACACACCCCGAAGCTCTTCGGTCCCATAGGTTTCTGCTATTACATTCTGTCTCCACGCAGGCCCAAGAAAACGGACCAAGTGGCCATGCACTGAAGCCCTGAACTGGTGAGTGAAGCCAACCTTTCTTCCTTTGAAGATGATTTTCCCCAGCATCTTGGCACAGTGATGTCGCGGGCTGCCGTCTGCAGCAGCTGAACTGTCCGCTCTTTGCTTAGTAAAAGTCATTTAAAACACCTTCCATCCTTATTTTGCAGGTGTCCTCATTCGCTTCCTTATAATTTCCTATGATTTTCCTTTGGCACAAATAAGAGAATAGAACATTCATTCAGTTGTATGTTTATTGAAAAATGATTATTCCCGGCTGGGGACATACCTCAGCTGGTAGAGTGCTCTCTTACAGTGAGCCCTGGGTTTAGTCTCCAGCCCTGCATAAAACTGGGTGTGTTGGTGCATGCCTGTAACCCCAGCGTACATGGCTTTCTTAGACCGCCAGCCCCCGGTTCATGACACAGAGACTAATTACAAATGCTCAACCTTAGCTTGTCTCTAGCTAACATTTTTTTTCTTTCTTTAGCTTAAATAAACTCATAGCTATTCATCTGTGTGCTGCCTGAGGCTTGTTTACCTCATCCACGTACTATCCATCCTCCTTTCCTGCTTCTTCCACATCTGGCTGGCTGGTGCCCAGCTGGCTGGCTGGTACCCGGCTGGCTGGCTGGCTGGCTCCCCTTTTCTCTCTGCCCACCAACCCTGCCTCTCCCTCCTCTGCCTAGCTATTGGCCGTTCAGCTTTTCATTAGATGGATCAGGTGCCTTAGGCAGGCAAGGTAAAACATCTTTACATAGTTAGACAAATATTCTATTCCACAACATCCCAGTACTCTAGAGGTGGGGGCAGAAGGATAAAGCAAGGTACACATGGAATTCAAGACTCGCTTGGGTTACAAGAGACCATGTCGAAACAAGACAAGACAAATGAAAACAAAATACCTCCTAGGCTGTGGGTATTAGCAGAATGAAGCCAGTATACTAAGTCATAAAATACGGTTACTGCCCTTGGGGGCATTCTTTCTTTTTTTTGGATTTTCGAGACAGGGTTTCTCTGTAGCTTTTTGGTTCCTGGAACTAGCTCTTCTAGACCAGGCTGGCCTCGAACTCACAGAGATTCACCTGCCTCTGCCTCCCGAGTGCTGGGATTAAAGACGTGAGCCACCACCGCCCGGCTGGGGGCATTCTTTCTAACATGAATGTTTCTGGTGCCACTGGGTGATAGAACTTGGATAAGGACCCAAAAAAACGCATCCCAGAACTGACTCTAACATACAGCATGTGACATGAGTCCTGGAAGAAAAGTTAGTTAGTGCTTACATAGGTAAGGACTAGGTGAAAGTATGTGAGGTCTAGGGAGAGTTTGTGCCAAGGTGGGGAGCATGGAAGAGCCTGGGGTATACTGAGGATGGCACACAGTCCTATTGGAAGCCTGGGGTATACTGAGAATGCACATAGTCCTATCAGAAGAGCCTGGGGTATACTAAGGATGGCACACAGTCCTATGGGAAGAGCCTGGGGTATACTGAGGATGGCACACAGTCCTACGGGAAGAGCCTGGGGTATACTGAGAATGCACACAGTCCTATTGGAAGAGCCTGGGGTATACCGAGAATGCACATAGTCCTATAGGAAGAGCCTGGGGTATACCGAGAATGCACATAGTCCTATAGGAAGAGCCTGGGGTATACTGAGAATGCACACAGTCCGATGGGAAGAGCCTGGGGTATACCGAGAATGCACATAGTCCTATAGGAAGAGCCTGGGGTATACTGAGAATGGCACACAGTCCTATTGGAAGAGCCTGGGGTATACCGAGAATGCACATAGTCCTATCGGAAGAGCCTGGGATATACTGAGGATGGCACACAGTCCTATCGGAAGAGCCTGGGGTATACTGAGAATGGCACACAGTCCTATCGGAAGAGCCTGGGGTATACTGAGGATGGCACACAGTCCTATCGGAAGAGCCTGGGGTATACTGAGAATGCACACAGTCCTATCGGAAGAGCCTGGGGTATACTGAGAATGCACACAGTCCGATGGGAAGAGCCTAGGGTATACTGAGAATGCACACAGTCCTATCGGAAGAGCCTGGGGTATACTGAGGATGGCACACAGTCCTATGGGAAGAGCCTGGGGTATACTGAGAATGCACATAGTCCTATCAGAAGAGCCTGGGGTATACTGAGAATGCACACAGTCCGATGGGAAGAGCCTGGGGTATACTGAGAATGCACACAGTCCTATCGGAAGAGCCTGGGGTATACTGAGAATGGCACACAGTCCTATTGTGTCAATTGTCAGGTGGAGTGTGTGTGTATATACATGTGTGTGTATGTGTATATATGTGCATGTCTGTGTGTTGGAGAGAGAAGATAATGAAACTGGAGAGATGATACATAATCTTCATGGTATTGCTCATTTATATTGTCTGCCATAGGTAACTTGGACCCAGTTAAGTGTGTTCAGTCATGAAAATCGACCAAGAACTGCTGTTGGTGAGGTTGTTCTGGTATGAAAAATTAGAAAGATGTTACACAGGGACCCAGAGGTTAAGAGCAGTGACTGCTCTTCCAGAGGTTATGAGTTCAGTTCCCAGCAACCACATGATGGTTCACAATCTTCTAAAGTGATATCTGATGCCCTCTTCTGGCATTCAGGCAAACTTGCAGACAGAATACTGTATATATAATAAATAAAATAAATCATAAAAGGAGGCTGGAGAGATGGCTCAGCAGTTAAGAGCATTGCCTGCTCTTTCAAAGGTCCTGAGTTTCTATTCCCAGCAACCACATGGTGACTCACAACCATCTGTAATGAGATCTGGTGCCCTCTTCTGGCCTACACTCATACACACAGACAGAATATTGTATACATAACAAATATAAATAAATAAATCATAACAAAAAAGATGGCTGGGTGGTGGTGGCACCTGCCTTTAATCCCAGCACTTGGGAGGCAGAGGCAGAAGCAGAGGCAGGTGGATCTCACAGTACTGACAGTGCTGGTGCCTTGAGAGGAGAGTCTCACCCTCCAGCAGTGTCCCGTGAGCCTTATGAGACTCCATCTGTAAGTTAGTATTCCACTTACTGATCTAAACTCTGGATTTCAAGACCTGTATACACTTGAGTTTCCCAGTGCTTTGAAAGCTGAAGCTTCGGCCAGGTTCTCCCTAACAGGGTCCTGAGGCACGAAAGCTCAGGCTCACCCTTCAACCCCTGCACTCCCCTCCTTGTTTCACTCAGTGTCCATAATGCCATCAAGTCAGCTTCTTCCTAAAGGCTGGGGTGAAGCTCAGCTGGAGTGTAAGACCCTGGGTTCAACTCCCAAGACCTCCCCAAACAAGATACATCTCAAACGTCAATTATACTCTCTTTCTCCTTGAGGCTTCCCCCCTGATGCTGAAGGAGACGCCAACCGCTTTGGACCGTGCTCACCAGGCAGTCAGTGTCCCTCAGCCATGGAGTGTCTTCACTGGGAAATCATGTCGCACCGCTTTCCCACTCTGGTGTTGTGAGCCCAAGGAAGTCGTCTTTGGCCATTTTATTTCCATGTACAGCAGAGGGTCTGGGATGTAGGAAGGGAGGAGAATGGAGGCCACTCTCGGAGGATAAGGCTCACTTACTGACATAGTCCTGGAAAAGGGGATTTTCTTTCCTCTCTGGACAGTACTGGGGAATCAAACCAAAGGAACTTGAGCCCGCTAAACCTGCATTTTACCACTGAGCTCCATCCCAAGATGCTGGTGTTAGGACAGAATTTCCATACATGGTTCAGGCAGGGTCTGACACTTGCGCTTCTGCCCCAGACTTCTGGGCGCTAGAGTCCCAGGCATGTGCCAGCATCTAGCTGGGCTTTTGTTTTCTAAAATATTCTGTGCAGAGGCTACACTGTCATTTGTACAGATAAGTAAGTAATAATGGGAGTTTGTAGCATTCGGCCATCAGTTCCCAATGTATCCCTGTGCTGTAAAACCAGCGTTAACTTCCTGACTGTGAAGAACTGCCTCAATTAAGGACATCCTGTAGCTATTCAAACCCCCTTCCCTCCTCTGCATACCTCTCTCTCCCACAGCTGACTCCCTCCGCATGACCCCCTCCCTACTGCAAGACACCAATCAGAGTTCAGACTCAAGGCCAAACACTGAGCACTTCTGGGCTCTGGTGCAAGCAAGATTTCTATAAAAAGACATTCAGAAAACAAGGAATCATACTGCCATTTTGCCTTTAATGGAAAAGTGGCTAACAGTTACAGTAAAAAAAAAAAAAAATCCAACTTCTAGTCAATCATTGTTTGAATTTTCAGAAATACACATACACTTGAAAGCCAATAAAATAATTATAAAAATAAACTCTCAATATGTTTTAAAGGGGAAAGGCCCAGTCTTTGTGGCTGCACAAATGCTTAATAATAATAATAATAAAAGTCACCAGTCTATCTGAGATGGCTCAACCCAGAGCAGAGGGGGCTTTTACTTTGGAGGACAGGGCCTGCCTGAAGCGCCTCTTCAGGTCCTGCATGTTGGGGGAGCGAGGCCGGGGGATGATGGAGGCCCTCCTCCGCTCCCCACTGAGGCTGTGCAGCTTGCTCACTTCTTTGCAGAGATGTTGAAACACGTCACAGACGTCTTCGTAGTTTTCACTAGTGGAAATTTCAAGGAAGAGACTGCTTAGCTCATTGGCTAGCTGAAGACCGTCCTGTGTCTGCACCTGCCGGGCATGCAAAAGGTCTGCTTTGTTGCCCACGATGATGACAGGGGCTTTCCCATCAGGGTGGACCTTCCGGATATTCTGGTAAAGGGGCCGAATGGACTGGTAGCTCTCATAGTCTGTGATGGAATAGACCAGCAGAAAGCCCTCGGCCCACTGCACACACTTGGACAGGGAATCCACCGTTTGACTGAGGTTGTCTTGGGCCTGAGGAAGAACAAAATGTAACCTGGTCAAAGATGCTCAAACATGACACTGGAGTAACTCTCGAGGGAACACTGACCGGGTGGAGTCATGGCTAAATGCAGTTGTCAGGCCTCATTTCTGCAAGAGGCTTTTACAGAGAAAGCCTCAGATCAAGGCTTGCCCTGGATTCTTTTCTGAGTTGGTGTGGATGTACACATCTAACCCCCCCACCCCTGCTCAACACACAGTTTCCAATGAACTCTGACTTAGGAATAATTACAGACCAGAATGGCTTAGTTTTCAGGGAACTAATTCATAACAAACAAAACTCTGGAAACAATCCAACATAAATATCTATTCCCAAGCCCATAAAAAAATATTTTTAGCAGTCAACTTCTTGAGAATGTTACAGAAACAAATTCCTTTCTCTACACTCTTCCACGCGACCTTTCCTCCCCAGAAGGGCTGAGCAATTAATTAAGTTGCATTCCTGACTGATGGCCAAGAGGTTATCTGATTGCAATTACTGGCTTGGAGAAACAGCCCCTAACCTTTTTGGCAGCCCTGGCCAGGAAGCAGGCGCTTTCCCTCCAGAATCCCACCTACTGCTTGCTCCTTTAATGTGGGGCTAGGATTTGAACCCTGGACCTGTGAGCAAGTCCTTACTACTGGGCTACATCCCCAGCTATAGCCACCACTGTCACCACCACACATCCCTACACTCCCCCACCCCCACCCCCGAGCTGTTGTATTTAAATTGCTCCTGAATGTTCTCTGAAAGTGTTCATACCTGCCTAAGCCCAGGCAATTATGATCAGCCAGAGCTGCAAAAGAAGCTATTGCTGAGGGGGACCGTTGACGGGGAGGAATGTGCCTTAACCTGTAATCCCCACACTTGGGAGGCTGAGGCATCAAAGATTATAGTAAATCCAAGTCAGGCCTGATCTACAAAGCAAGTGATAGGTCAGCCAGGGCTACATAGAAAAACACAATCTTTAAAATAACTAGGTAATTAAAAGTTGTGTTTAAAAGCAAACTAGTTCTGATCAACTATTCCCTTCCCCCTTGGAGGGCATCCAACATCCCAACCCTCAGCTCACCTGTGACAGACAGTCTACACACACACACACACACAAACACACACACACACACACACCGCCTACATTTAAATGCACATTTGACATGCTGAAACATCTCACTGGGACCCGGAGGCAATCGCCTCAATGTTAGCCGCAGCTGCACAACACACAGTACACACCCTACTGACAATCCTTACCTGGATACCCCCAGGAGTGTCCTGGATCTGCAGAGATAGCTGGTCCCCCTCCACATAGACGAGTCTTGAATACAGTTTGCCTGTACAACGAAGAGGAGTTTGCATTTGAGTTCCCACGCTCTGATCAGCGAAAGAAAGAGCAGAGAGGGAGGACAGACTGACTTAAGCACAAAAATCAAGGAGCATGAAGCCATCTAACCTGTGTTGGGTTCGTAGTCGCCGATGAATCTCTTTGTTAAGAAGCGCACAATCATTGCTGAAAAATGAAAAAAAAAATCGACTTAAGAAGTGGGTCAAGTTGGTTACCCTCACCGGAACAGCGCACGTTTCCCCAGGTTCCCGGGGGGAAATTGACTTCCCCGCGGGACACGAAGGATGAGACTGGAGTGACCCTCAACAACCGCCAACCCCGTCCAGAGCTCAGGAGTGGATTGTCAGAGAAGACAGGCGGTGGTCTTCCCGCATCCCCGGGGGTGGGGACCGACCCCTGCTGTCGTTGGGCAGCGCACTCCCTTGCCCCACTCACCGCTTTTGCCTACACGACCCGCGCCTAGCACCGCCAATTTGATGTCCTTGGGCAGGAGGTAGTCGGAGGAGGATTCGGGAATGGGAGCCAGCAGAAAGTGCCCAGACATGGTTGGTGGACGCATGGGCGCGTCCCGGGACCGCGCTGCAGGATAGCCGACTGGACACGCGGCAACTCAGGGCGCCAGGATGCGGCGCGGCCAGCAGAGTTGTCCCCGGCTCTCGGTTTTTAAAGAGCTCGGGGAGTGTGGTGGCCGCCTTTAGCGCCTCCTACTCCCCGCCCCTTCCTGGAGGGGTGGGAGTCGCGCGCGCAGGGGACCGTCACCCGCGGGCGTGTGCACCACCTGGCTGCCTGACGCGCTCAGCTCACCCAGTTGCGCGGGTCCCAGGCGATGGAGCCCAAGGGAGTCTCTGCTCAAACTGTGCCTGCCGGGTCCTGATGGCACCCGCTGCCGCGCCGGTCAGCCTGGACCCCTAGCCTGGAGCATGAACCTGAGAGTGGAGCTGAACCCCCAGCAAGAGCAAAAGCGGCAACTGACTGGATGTTTGTGGGACAATGGGAAGAAGAGATCCATTTTTTTGTGTGCCTTTGATTGTCAGAGTGCTGACAGGAACTCTAGATTTGATCTTAAGCACCCTGTAAACCGGGTGTGCTGGCATACACACCTGCTACTCTAGGTGGTGGAGACAGTAGGGTCAGAAGTTCAAGGTCCTCCTTGGCTACAATAAGGTTTGAATTCGAGGTCAGCATGGACTACATAAGACCCTGTCTCAAACGTACATCTATAAATAAATAAGTAAATAATAAAAATAAATAAATTTACTCATTCAGTATCAATCAAGGTAATTGCAGTCACTTACCTGTGACCTCCCTTAGGGGGCAGTCGTTGCCTGCAGCTCAGCATCCAAACCCAGGCAGTCCCTTTTCTGCAGTTCTAGGGTGAACTGACTCAGACTCAGGGAGCTTGATTCTGGCCTGATTGACCCCGGTAAATACCACCCTGCGCTCTTGGCTCCTGGATCTACTTTACTGTTCAAGCGTTTCCTGGAAGGTACTGGTGGAATTTAGGATAGAGGGTGTGAGTAGGAGGAAGAGGGCACAGGAGATAAATATGGCTGGTTCTTGGATCCCACCATAACGAGACAGAAGCCTTGCAGTCTCCTGTGGTTCCCTCTCATGTGCCCGACTGCCTCCGAGACAGCCCTACCCTTAGTCATTCCCTTTCTCTATTCCGGGCTTATCAGCTTGCATGGCATGACAAACCACACAGAACTGAATGGCTCAGTGCAGCATTTACTTCTGTTCTTAATCTAGGGCAGTTTGACAAGCTTGATTAAGCTCTCTGAGGCGGTAGCAGAGAACTTAGGAACCCTAGGGAAATGAGAGGCTGGCTTGCTCCACCAGACCCACTCCGGTCTGGCAGCTAACTGCTGGCTCATCCAGGCCGTTGGCAAGGCTTGTCCTCAGAGTGGTTGAGCAGAGCTCCAAGACAGTGAGTGGAAGTAGACAGGGCCCTTGGAGGCTGGACGACTCTACAGCAGACCCCATCCCCTCTGATGCGTTCTGTCAACCGAAGCAAAGCACGAGGCCAGCATACGTTCAAAAGATGGGGTTATCACGCATCACCCCTTTAAGGACAGAGCAGCAAGCCATAGTGGGAAGGGCCAGCATGTAGCAAGGGACAGAATGGAGTCTAGTTTTGCTGTTGAAAATGCTAGCGGATGTGCTTCCATTCAGCAAGTCGCCCGAATCAGGTCCTGCTTACTTGCCCCCCCTCTTGAAGACACAGTGGGATCCCTGCCAGCATTGCTACCTCCATCTTAGCCTCTCAGGATCCCTTGGAAGTCTCAGTCTCAACTGTCATTACAGTTGGAATATTTGTTTGCTGTTTCCACAGGGAGGATTCCTACCTACCCTTTTCCCCAGCAAGTGGGGATATTTAAAGGGGCAAGAATCCCCCCCACACACACACAAAGAAACACAGGCATGTACTTGCACACACCATCTGGCTGACCTTCTGAGTGACTGGATGTTGACTCCACTGTATGAAATGGAACAGTCAAAAGTCCTGTTTACATCTATTGTTATGATGCTCTTGGAAAAAGATGCTCCAAGAAATGCCTGGGATGAACTGCCATAGCTAAGTGGTACTGATTTTAATCTTGTCACAAGGTTAATCACAGAGACATGAAGCGGGGCTTTCCTCCCTAACTGAAGGAAAAACCTGGGCACCAAGAATACAAGACCCCTTTAAGGAGCCACTGAAGCACTGCTGCTTTCCAGGGCTGTGAAGCTCTGTGGAGGCTGGACTATTGTTTCTTGGAGTTTCTTGGCCTCTCCCTGATGGACACAAGATGATTTCTGGAGCATCAAGTCCAGAAATAGAGAGGGAGGGGAGGCCTGCCTTGCTTTCCCTCTTTAACTATGAAATTAAACGGTTCTTGGGGGTGGGGACATAGCTCAGTGGCAGAGCCTTTGCCTAGTACACCCTAGGACTTGGGTTCTACCCTTAGCTCAGCAAATAGCATTCAGGAAATAAAGGCAAGAGGATCATAAATTCAAGGCTATCCTTGACTGATAGTAAGTTAGAAGCCATCCTGGGTTACATGAGACACCGCCTAAAAGAAAAAGCTTTTTTAAAAAAAATATTTATTTATTCATTATGTATACAATATTCTGTCTGTGTGTATGCCTGCAGGCCAGAAGAGGGCACCAGACCTCATTACAGATGTTGTGAGCCACCATGTGGTTGCCGGGAATTGAACTCAGGACCTTTGGAAGAGCAGGCAATGCTCTTAACCGGTGAGCCATCTCTCCAGCCCTAAAAGAAAAATCTTATCTTAATAGCAAGAGCAGGAAAGTTAAAACAAAGGAGAGAGACGATCCAAACGCTGGCAAAGGAGGTTGGGACGGCCATGCCGGCCATGACTGGCGTGGGTGATCATGATTCCTCCTGGATAGAGACACTATTAGCATCATGAAAAATGAAACACAGAAAATGGGGGTTGAGCAGGGGATAATTCAATCTGTCACAAACTCCCTTAGCAGAATGTCCAAGAGAAAAAACAACAACAAAACAAAGCAGAGGAAGCCTTGTTCTAAACTTGAGGCTATCACTTCACTCCATTTACTGCATTCCCTGTCCCTCAGTTTAAGGCAGTGTTCTCAGCCTTCCAGTGCTACCTCATGTTGAGGTGATCAGCCATAAAACTATTTTGTTGCTACTTCATAACTATTAATTTTACTACTGTTATGAATTGTAGATGTAATGTAAATGTCTGTATGCAGGATATCTGACATGCGAGCCTTGTGAAGGGGCCTCTCGACCCTCAGGGGGGTGGCAACCCCCTGCCTTAAACACTCAATAAGGAAGATTCTACAGCCTGGTCTGTCCGGTGGTGATTATGCTCCAGGTTGCATTTACAGTGCACCTTGCTTGGAAGAGCTTGAAGTGCGTCTCTATTCTCCTTGGGAAAGCTCTTCACATTTACAGATACACAAAACAAGCTGAACCTTCAACGAAGACAATAAGCCACCACGCTGGGGAATTATAAATAGGCTCTCCTGAATCGATGCTGCCTGGGTTCTATTTTGTTTCATTCTTGTGTCCAAAGTTATGTAAAGCTATGGTAAAAGCTTTAAGCCAATGTGACACAGACAGGCTGAATGGTTTTTATAGAGATAATAGGAATGCGTGGGCATAAACACTACACAAATCTGTGGATGGCTAGAATGAGTGTGAAGGGCAGAAACTGCAAATAGCAAATAATACCGGCTGGGCAAGTTATTAACTCTTTCCTAGCCGTGAACTCAAGCTCTTCAGTGAGATTTGCCCAGGGGCCCACTCCAGTTCATGACCATTTCCACCTACCATTCATATGTACAGTCAACCAATGCTTTGCATTGTGTCTAAAGTCCCTGACTACTGAGCTTAAGGGTGCTTCGGAGACTGTACCTGTGAGCTTCTCCCCAGGACAGGAATCAGGCTTCTGCCCTCTACCAATTCCCTCCATTATCTCAACTTATCCATCAGAATAACTGAAGACCCCGTCCTTGCAAGGCTCTGTGATGGATGCTGGTACAAACCACAAGAGAACAGTTACTCTGTGGTACCAGAACTGAGTATCAGACACTCCTGCATGTCTTCAGACACCCTGTAGTGAATCAACTTAATTCATCAACTATAAAATACTTGCATTTACAAAAAAATTTTCAAATATTATTTCCTGTGTGTGTGTGTGTGTGTGTGTGTGTGTGTAGGCCACAATTCAGTCTCAAGCATTATTCCTTGTTGTTTTGGTTTTGTTTTTGGTAGGATTTTTATTTTTGAGACAGGGTCTCAACTGTGTAACCCTAGATGTCCTGGAATTCACTCTGTAGACCAGGCTGGCCTCAATCTCAGAAGATCCACCTGTCTCTGCCTCCCGAGACCTGGGACTAAAGGCGTGTGCTGTGCCCTGTGTGGTCTGCATTTTCAGCAGGTTCATAGGTGACTGGTATGATAGCTAGAGAACCAAAGAAAGCAACCCGTGGTGGGGCTGCAAGGAGCCCCTGGAAAAGAAAACTGGTTGGTCTGCCAAGTATTAAGGAGAAATGTGCTAACTAGCAGGATTTTGGCAGCCTCTGTGGATAGTTGCACCAGAATGGTGGAGGTGGAAGCCAGATTTGTAGTGAGCAACCAGATTTAGCTACAAAAGGGACCGGGAAGGCACAGGAAAGGCTGCTGCTTGTCTTAAGTCAAGGAAGTGGCAAGTAGAAAGGGACAAGATGCCAGGATCAGAAGAATCTGTGACCATGCATCCTCAATAAACTATGGGGGTGGGGTGGCCAGGAACAAGAGTCCTGCCACCAACCGTCCTTTGTGTCCTCCTTTCCGTTCCTAGTGCCCTTTGGCTTGTCTTCTCTACCTTCCATGTTGTCACAGCTTACTGCAGGGTTGTGTGGCTGGGTCTTCTTTGCCCTCTGTTGACTGCAGTAAGTATTTCTGACCTTCATAGGAAGCTGCAAATGATAAGTTGATTAAAAACTCAGACTCCCCCCAAAAAAGATATATTGGGTCATAAATACTATAAAGGAACAAAAAATGATAAAGGAGCTCGCTATTTTTATAGGCCATTAAGAGACAGTCTTGACAAAAATCTGGGCAGAGGTTGAATATGGAAAGGGGACAGACCACAGGCGTGTATGTAGGACAAGCTTTCCAGCAAAGGAAACACCAAGCACAAAAGCTTT